GCTGAGCCATATGGGTCTGAAGCAATAAGCCATGGGGGATGGACCAGGCCAGGTCTTCAAGGCCAAAGAAAAGTAGGAAATAGCGAGTCTAAATGAACCACGTGACCGCCCCCCAACACACACACACACACACACACACACACACACACACACACACACATCTCAGTTCACTCGGTCACAGTCTGAAAGGGTCTTTGAGAGGAAGCCAACCCAGAGGGTAAGGGACTTGCCTGTGGTCACACAGCACGTCAGCACAGAGCTGGGGCAAGAACTCGGGTCCCCTCACCCCCACCTGCGTGCAGGGGCTTCGTTCTGCTCCGCGGTGTTCTGGCCACCCCCCTTTCCCACGTCTCCCCGCATCCAGCTGCCCAGGAGGATCTCTCGGGGTCATGCCCCTGCCCACAGTCTTCAGTGGCTCCCTACCAAAGGGTCAAGACTGAACTCCCAGACCGGACATGGGGCCTCCACGGCCTGTCCTGTTACTGCCTTTTCAGGCGGAACCCCCCCCCCCCCCCGGTCTCACGTGCACTTCACACGTCCATACCTGTGCCTGCCTGCTACTTCTGGAACGCCTCCCCTGCCCCACCAGACCACTCCTCTTCCAGGAGGGCACCCTGGTCACCCGCATCCGTGGGGCCTTCCCAGCCTCTGAGCTCCGGGTCAGACTCTCCCTGTGTACGTCAGGCTGCCAGTTGAACCCAAAGCTCCGTGAGGACAGAACCTAGTTACTAGATCTATAGCGGCTGTTTTCAGGATAAAAATGGGAACTTGTGCTCCGGCCAGGATACAGTTCTGCTGTTACACATGCGTGTGAACAATCTTCAAAAGTCTAAGACACGGGTATCCCAATACGCAGCGGTACGCTCAGAAACCCCCTAACAGCACCCTGCCGGCCGTTCCCGCGGAGCCTAGACATCGCAGACAGCCACTGCCACCTGGATTTAGCCTGTGGGGTGAAACCTCTGTGCCGTCTGGAATGGGCACTCCGGGAGGGCAGGGGCCTGGCCTGTGGGGCTCTTGTCCCTAGGGCCCAGCCCTGGGCCTGGCACACGGTAGGCTCTTTGAAGTATTTGCCGAACGAACGAATGCCCCCTCCATCAGTTACAAATGCAGTGGCTCACCCTTATTTAGCAGATGGGCTGCCTTGGGGCATCTGATCCGAGGCCCAGATCTGTGACGTTGAGCACGTAGTACACTTGTCTCAGCTTCTGTTTCCACATCTACCGATAGAAGTAGTGGTACCTGCTTTACAGGCTCATCCTGAGGGTTAGATGTTGCCAGCCGAAGACCCAGCTCGCTCCGCACATGTTAAGTTTCTGACTTCCTCGTGGGATAGGTCTGTAAGTTACCGGAACACAATCGATCTGTAAGTTACCGGAACACAAGTCATCTGGCTCAAGTGAAAAGGCAGGTGCTCTCTCTTCCTGGAAGAAGGAGGAATGGCTACTGAGCAGACAGAAGCACCAGCTGTGGGCCCCTACCCTCTGCGTGGACTCTGGATGGCGGGGCCCCGCTGCTGCACCCACGCCACTGAATGCTGGCTGCCAGAGCTGTCTGTGGAGCTCCTCTGCATGTTGGGCATCTCCGATTCTTCCCAGCGGCCCCCAGATTTAGAGAGCGAAGTACCTTGCCCAGGGCCACACAGCCTGAGTGGTAAGGCCAGACCTTGGCTGTGAACTGAACAAAGCTGCCTGGTCTCAGAGTCTCCCATTCCTGCGCAACTGGCCATAGATGTTTGAGGTGGTAGCTGGCGGCCCTAGGGAGTCAGAGGCCCAGGGGGCTGATGTCCCACACTCCCTCGCACCTGTACCCCGCTTGGTCCCACCCACCATTTCAGCCCCTTTCCTGGAAACACAGGCACCTGCCGGAGACCCCAACCTCTAACGCCCTCACACTGCCCCAAGGTGATATCTTATTGTATGGATGTGGAATCCCACTCTGCCTGGATTTAAATCCCTACTCGGGCCACGTGACCTTACACAAGTGACTTTACCTCTCTGGGCCTCGGTTTCCCCACCTGAGAGATGAGGAGAAAAATTTCACCTTGTATTTATTAGCACAGATAGAGTACTTGCATAATGCCTGGCTCATGGGAAGGGCTAACTAAACTTGGACTATTCTAGTATCTATGTTATCGGATTACTGCCTTGCTGAAGTGAGAAAAGGATCCATTACTGTTGTAAATGTGATCAAAGATGAACCCTGCAGAAACTCCCTGCATCCTTTCTGGAACATAAGTCCAAGTTGGACTCTGCCTGAGAAGGTTACTGTAGAAGCTTCTGGTGAGAGTGAAACCAATGTCAGGGGCCCCACTACTGTGTTGGCTCAGCCACATGGGCCCTCACCACCCTCCATTCTGCTTCCCAAGAGCAGTGGCCCCCGCCACCGGCAGCACAGACCTCTAGGGGGGGACATGTGTTAAAAATACAGATCCTGGGGGCCCCTTCAGCCTCGCCACATCCAACTGTGGGAGTGGGGTCCACAAATCTGCCTTTGACTCCCCTCTCAGGTGATTCTGACATGAATTACACGAACGCTACCCTCTGCCACGTCTTCCTGACCCAATTTCTTCTCAGTCCCATGCCAACAACACGCTGGGTGCGGGGCTTCCCTTCCCCGACCTCCTCTGACCCCCCAAATCTATCAAAAAGCGCCCCCCAGAGTGTTGTAACAGGAAAGGAAACTAAGGCTCAGGGGTAGGCCGTGGAGCCAGGGTCACGCCGTCGGGAAGTCACGGAACGGGGATTGGAACCCAGAACCTGCATGCTTTCCCCTTGCGAATGTGTATCCTTAAAGGTGCTGGTGCCAACCCTAGATCTGGGCCTGGGTCTCCTCTTGGGATTTCCCAGCAAAAGCTGGTTTTGCTCCAGCCAGGCTCTGGCTGGAGGCACAGAGAGAGCAACCAAACACACAGGGAGCTTGGGGTAAGGGAAGGCCAGCAATTCAGGGAAGAGCCTCAAAAGGGAGGGTCAGTACTTGGGCGTCGGGAGCAGAGCCAGTGGGGGTTTGTGGTTGCGGTCAGCAGAGACCGGCCGCAGGTTACTTAAGCAGGAAAGGAACTTACCGAACACCACTGGGGAGCCAACGGGCTAGAAGAGTCAGAGGGCCCAGCTTGGAGTTCTCATGGCTCCGGCCCCCTGGGTGGGGCACTGACCGGGCAGCCCAACCCGCTGACACCCAGCCGTGGTCAGTCCCTGCAGACCTCTGTCCCTGATGACTCCAGAAACTGGACGGAGGCACCACCAGAATGGGCCTATGTGCCCCTGCCTGCTTGGGTCACGGATTCCTCCAAAGGTCTGTGCGGGGGACTGTGGCTGGTCACACCTGGGTCATGTGCCCAGGCCCTCACCGCAAAGCATGCTGGTACACTGGGGCTCCTCTATTGGAAGCATCATTAGGTGGGGGACTCATCTGATACGGGAAGGGGCTTTGAAAATAGGGCAGCCAATAAAAATGACAGGTGTCCACTAAGACCAGGGGTGGGGCTGACCCACCAGTCATTGAGGGCTTCTGTGCACCAGCCACTGCATTAAGTGGTTCACATCCGTTACTTTAGTCCTGTCTACAGGAATAATGCCCCGTTTACACGTGAGAAAGCTCAGGCTCGTGCGAGTGGCGGGTCACACTATTGACCCCAAGTCCATCAGACACGTGGCCAGGGCTCCTGACCACCCACGCATGTGTCATTGCCTCGTGCCTCCTGGGACTGAGACTAGCCCACAAAGCCCGACTGCACGCTTGCCTGACCCCTGCCTCCAGCCTGCCTCCTCGCACAGAGGAGGATGATCCCCCAGCACTCTGGGAGGGGCGTGGGGCTGGTATTATTGCCCCATTTTACAGACGGGAAACCTGAGTACAGTTGGGGTGCTTATCTGGCTCACGGTGGAGTCAGTGCAGAGCTGGGGTCTCTCCCCACTGGGCAGCTCTCTCTGCCTCACATCCTGGCCGCCCGTCTGCAGGCTGCATGGAAACCCAGGTGGGGAAACCACCCCCTACAACGAATGTTTGCCTGGCAGAGCAGTAGCCCTGGGGATGGCTGTGGGGTGGAGGTCTGGGGGACTGGGGCAGAAATGAAGGTGCAGAAAGTTCTAGAAGGCATGTTCAGAGCCCCACTCCCCGGGCTGTCCAGTTGCTCTCCTTCATGGCTGGAGAAAATGATCTCAGTCCCCTCAACCTGCCCAGAGTTCCCTCTTGTCAAGGCCCTTCTGTGACGTACCTGATACCGCGGGCCTTCTCTAGCTGGGCCCCAAACCACGTGAGATATGTGGCGCACCTTCCCGGGGAGTCCGCTTTTATAGGATGTTTTGTGAAGCATTCATCCTATGCCACGTCTCCCTGCCCTTCACAATCCTCCCGCTCACTGCGTATGACCTACACTGTCCAGGACGGCGGCCAGTGCTGCGGACACGACAGCTACAGTCCAGACGGCAGGAGGGAGGGGGCGGGACAAGAACGATACCTCCCGCTGGGTCAGCTTCCTACAGGAAGCCCACCTGGAAGCAGACCTCAACTTACTTAGGCAAGACCCTAGACGCACAGCCACACAGCTGCATGCGGATCTGGGAATGGAGTCCGCGGGCTGGGCACGCTGCCAGGTAACACTGGGGTTCTGTTATGAAGGAAAAGGGGGAACATGGATATTGGGTGGGCAGCGATCCGTCTCAGCCGCTCATGCCCAACGTGCTAAGATCCAACAAAGGGCCAGCCCAGTGTCACCCCGGTCCCCGCCGGTCCTGGGGCACCACGTAGAGTCGGTTTGGGCATTTGGTATTCTAGACCCGCGCCAGACCTCCTCTCTCAGGCCTGTGAGCCCCAGGAGGCAGTATTCGTCTCCTCGATCACCCCAGAGCCAGCCATCAGGCAAACAGAGACCACCCATACAGCTCAGAGCCCCCCGAAATCATTCAAACTAGCCAATCCTAAACTGTCCGCCTTGCCCTGTCTTGTCTTTCCCACGGAAACCCCAATAAATGCCATGGCCCAAGCCACACCCCCTCCTGTCTTCTGCCTCCCGCCTACGCTGGTGTATTTCCACGAGGTCCTGCATGGCCTGTGTGCCTCCTGCCTCCTGTCTCTAGGACCTGTGAGTGTTAGAAACTCCTCTGGGGCGCCTGGCTGGCTCAGTCGGGAGAGCGTGCGACTCTTGATCTTGGGGTTGTGAGTTCGAGCCCCACACGGTGTAGAGATTACTTTAAAAATAATAATAATAAATAACAAGTCTCCTCTGTGTTCTCACCAGACTGACCATCTTGTGAAAGAACACAAAACAGGTCTTTAAGGACAGAATGCCCCCCACACTGTTTCTCACTTCCACTTTGGTTTTGCTTTCTGGAGATTTCTGCCAGTCTCGGTAGGCTGGGTCACACTGCACTAACAAACAGCCCCATATCCTAGTGGCTCCTAACACTAAGTATTTCTCATGCACACGGCATGTCCACATAGGGCTGGAGGGCTCTCACCCGCTTCCCATTCCGGGGCCCAGGGCAATGGAGCAGCCACCGTCTCCAAAGCTGTCAGTAGTCACGGGGTCTCCACCTGGCAATAATGTCCCACCCTGAGGTGACAGATGTCACTTTTCACGCTTCCTTGGCCATGGCTAGTCACATGACCCCACCTAATCTCAGGGGACACATGCATGAAGGGCAGAGCATGGGAAGGAGTATGGAGAATGACATTAACAAGGACCTCAGGCCTCCGTCTGGGGTGACTGCCAGGCAGCTGTGACCACCAGAGCTCGGGCAGGGGGAGCAGCTGTGCCCTGGGGTGCGGCACACAGCCCAGCCGAACCTACCTAGGGCGAGAGGGAGCTGGAGAGAAGGAAAGACACAACGTTCCAGAGCCCGGGGCTGTGGTGCCTGACAGTCCTACCTTCCAGTTCCAGCCACTTCTGCAAAAAATCGGAACAGCATTTCCCAAAAGGTGGAATTTTAGTGAAGATCACATGGGGAAATATGCCTTTATACTCCCAGCGGCTGTCCCTGGAAGGTGATACTTTTTTGGTGGAAGAACTTTTTGCCCTACTAAGCCCTTTGATGAATTAGGGTAAATGTGAGAACAGAAGCTCGGCTGAGAGTGGCTTTGGGGGCGTTATGGGGGGCAGTTACAAAAGCACAATCTATTCCCAAGATTTCTTTGGGAGTGACTTTATTTGGGACGGCTTTGAAAGGGTTGATGGCGACTATGGGGGTATCCAAGCAACCCCCGCTGCCCCTATAGAAACTGGGAACAGATCAACCGTTCAGCGTTAACAGAGAGGGTTTGGGGGTTTCTGTGGCAGTCCACAAGACCAGGGGGCAGATAGAAAAGGGAGCAGGGGGAAGGAAGGCAGCAAGAGGGTACTCTAGGAACAGGTTTTGAAAGCCCCAATTCCTTCTCATTCCTTAAATCCCGAGTAAACTTCCTCTGTTGACGGGTGGCTCACTCCTGCACCATCAGCACTGAAAGCTAACCTGTGGCCACAGAAGCCCCTCTGCCTCCTGGGGCCGGGGGGTGGGGAGAACCCATATCAAAAGCCAGACGTGGTCCTGCCCAGTGCAGAGGGACAATCCTGAGGCTGGGGTTCCCCTTTGGAAGACTCAAATCGCCTTCTGAGCAGAGAAACGGGGCAGAGGGCAGCAGAAAGAGGCATCTCAAGATCAGGTGTTATATGGGGCACCTGGGTGGCGCAGTCGGGTAAGCGTCCGACTTCAGCCAGGTCACGATCTCGCGGTCCGTGTCGGGCTCTGGGCTGATGGCTCAGAGCCTGGAGCCTGTTTCCGATTCTGTGTCTCCCTCTCTCTTTGCCCCTCGCCCATTCATGCTCTGTCTCTCTCTGTCCCAAAAATAAATAAACGTTGAAAAAAAAAATTAAAAAAAAAAAAAGATCAGGTGTTATCTGCTGAATCTGTGTGGGCACAACAATTTTGCAGAAAAGATAAACTGAGCCCAGGGGATCAAACTACTTTCCCGTGGTGCCCCAGGCAGCCAGAGGGGCAGCCAGGGTGAGGGGCCACACCTGTCCTCCCGTGCCATTAGAGGAGGGAGGCTGGGACTCAGAGAGGGAAGGCCTTGCTCAAGGTCACACAGCAATTCAGCAGCAGAGCCAGGATGCAAGGACTCCAGATCCTGGTCTCTGCCAGCTGCCAGCCTGGGAAAGCTGCCCAGCCCTTTCACCCACTTTTTGCCTTGTGCCCGGGAGAGGTTGAGCCGGGTTAGCAGAGGCAGGATATTCTGAGAAATTCACTCAGGCCCAGACACCAGGAGCTGCATCGGTCCCCCTTGCACCCCGGCGGGCGGGCGAGCAGCATTCTCAAAGTCCGCGCGAGCAAGACAGTATCTGAGGACAGACGTGCTCAAGGTGGGGAGCCAGGCCAGGTGCCCGCCCGGTGCACCCGCGATCTCACTTAACCCGCGGGCGACCCTGGAGGGTGGGCTTCTCCGCTGTTTTCCGGGTGGCCAGAGACGCTGGGCCGAGTAGGACTGAGGCCCCAGGACTCGCAGTCCAGTGCTCTGTCCCCGGGCGCTGGCGGCGGGAGGGGCTTGGCGGAGCGCCCAGAACGGCGCGGCGCGGGGAGGGCGCCCGGGCCGGATGCTCCCCTGCCCCGGCCCCGAGCTGCCCCCGGCGGCGGCGGATCCGCAGAGCAGGAAGGCGCAACAATAGGGGGCCGACAGCGGCGGGGAGCCCCGGTTCCGGAGCCAGGGTGCGGCCCGCCCCGCCACCGGCACTCTGAGAACGGGGTCCCTGCTCAGGGGACGAACGAGATTATCGGATGCCACCGTCTGAGCCCTTACGGTCTTCCGGGACCTGCCTCCACCGTACCTGGTTTATCTCATGGGATCCTCCTCTTACCCCTATGATTTAGCCCCAGTTTACAGATGAAGCAACGCAGGCACAGAGTTTTAAGTAAAATGCCCAAGGTAAGGAAGAGGTGAAAGTGAGATCTGAACCTAGACTATCTGGCTCCAGATCCTGAGCTCTTAGCTATTACGCGCGCGTGCGCACACCCACACCCACGCACAGCCACCCACACACCCACACCCACACTCATGGTATGTATGTGTATACACACACATGTGTGTATATATACATATATGTGCATATATACACATATGTATATATACACATATGTATATATACACATATGTATATATACATGTGTGTATATATACATATGTGTATATATACGTGTGTGTGTATATATATATATATACTTTCTCATATTTTTCCTTTTCACTTACATCATTGACAGCTTTCTGTGTCATAAATACATCCCTCAGCGATCCTAGTTCAAAGTCCTGACGTGCTAGGGAAGATCTCGTCCTGTACCCCGCCCCACCCCATCTTCCCCACCCACTAAGGGACTTGGATTCCCACCACTGGCACCCTGTCATCGAGTTAAGGTAGGCTTCCTCTAATCTAAATTGATGGTGACCGTGGTGGCACCAAGGGGTGGACGGATGGGTGCTTAACCCCCTCCTCATGTCCATCAGAAAAGCCCTTCTGGGGCGCCTGGGTGGCGCAGTCGGTTAAGCGTCCGACTTCAGCCAGGTCACGATCTCGCGGTCCGCGAGTTCGAGCCTCGCGTCGGGCTCTGGGCGGATGGCTCGGAGCCTGGAGCCTGTTTCCGATTCTGTGTCTCCCTCTCTCTCTGCCCCTCCCCCGTTCATGCTCTGTCTCTCTCTGTCCCAAAAATAAATAAACGTTGAAAAAAAAAATTTAATAAAAAAGAAAAAGTGTGTTTTCCTAATAGTCGTTATTAAGAAAACACATAAAAAAAAAAAAAAAAAAAGAAAAGCCCTTCTGCCAGCCAAACAGATGCATCTTCTGGATAGAAGTTGCTTATTATGCAAAGGAGGCTTAAAGGCAGGCCCCCTCCCGCACCCACATGAGATTGCTGCGCCCAAGCCCCTCCCCCAGAGGAGTTCTGGAGACAGCCTGGCTGGTGGGTTCATGCTCCCCAGGTGTCCTGCTTTGAACACAATATATGGACACACTGAAGGTTTCTTAGAATCGGGTCCGGCCCAGGGCCACGGAAAACCCATAAAGGCCCAGCCTGGCTGGGTGGCAGGGGGGTCCAGAAGCTCCAGAACGGATGGGACAGCTGGAGCTGGAAGAGGGGCTGTGCTTCCTGCATTCTACGTAAGACCAAGGGCTTAGATCAGCGCCATCGATGACTGAGAATGCCTGAGCAAATCTAGGGCACTTCTCACCCTTCCATCTGAGGCACACTGGGAGACCCCAGTGCCGTGGGGGTGGGGGGAGAGCAGGAGGCTTTTTATTTATTTTTCATTTACTTTTATTATTGTTATTTTTATTTTATTAATTTTTTTAGCAGTTATTTATTGTTGAGAGACAGAGCACAAACAGGGGAGGTGCAGAGAGGGAATCTGAAGCAGGCTCCAGGCTCTGAGCTGTCAGCACAGAGCCTGATGTGGGGCCTGAACCCACCAACCGCTAGATCATGACCTGAGCCAAAGTCGGATGCTTAACTGAGCCACCCAGGCGCCCCTGTTATTTTTATTTTAGAGAGAGAGTGTGCACGAGTTGGGGAAGAAGGGCAGAGGGAGAGAGAGAGAGAGAGAGAGAGAGAGAGAGAATCTTAAGCAGGCTCCACACTCAGCACAGAGCCCAACTCAGGGCTCGATCTCACGACCCTGGGATCAAGAGTCTGATGCTCAACTGACTTGGCCATCCAGGTGCCCCAGGAGACTTGTTAAAGACACTCCACCTAGGCTGCTGGGAGAAACTCTCGGGAGAGGTGGAGGGGCTTCTCATCCAAGAGTGATGAACCAGCTGAGGTCCCCTTCCAGAGCCCCCTTTGGCCCTCACAGGCCAGCTGGGAGCACTGGGTGTGGAACCAGGATACCTGAGATTTGTGTTCTGGTTTCATTCCCAACTATGGGCCGTCTTATGGCCTTGGACCAGTCCTTCCCCCCCCCTCTAGCTTCCCAATCCTACCTCGGCAGGGACCTCCAAGGGCTCTTCCCGCTCTGATGGGGGCTCTGGCAGTGGTGCTTTTTCTTTCCGGGGTCACCTGAGCTGTCAGGGGGATGATCGGGTAGAAGTCACCTCTCCGAAATTTCCTTTCACCGGTAATTACTGCCTTCCAAGGACGGCTGCTACTCGGGGGTCACCCAGCATCCACTTTCCCGTCTTTAGGGTAGCAGCCCCCAAGTTTCCTTGGGAGGAGCCTCCCTCCTCCACCTCGGCCAGGTACAGTGAGTGGAGTGGACTCCATGCCTGAGTCCATTGGGAGGAAGGTGACCAGACGGGGCAATGCCTACCTTCCGTTCCCTGAGCTGTCCAGGGTAGTCATGTGACCCAATGCCAGCCAACGGCGTCAGGTTCAGGTTTGGTCCCAAATGCTGAGGAGTCTGGAAGCGTAAAACCTGGGAGGGTTGGCGGCTGGCGTCGCTGGCATCCGTTCTGCCTCCACGGGGACTGGAGCCGCGGCAGAGAAGGCAGAGCTTGGGGGCCGAGAGATCTACCTGCTGCCGTTCGCTTCCTCCCGCCAGTCCAGCTGTGCCCGAAGCCAACTGCCCTGGGCTTTTCATGACCGGGAGCCGATACGCCTTTGCCACTTCCAGCCAGTTTGAAGTGGGTTTTCTGTTGCTCACAACCGGAAGCATCATGACTGCTTTGTTGGATTTTTCTTGACTCTATGGCGCCATCAATAGGAAGGTAATTTTTTCAAGGCAAATAGGATACCCATTTAAATAAGGGCTTTTTTGATGAAAAAAGCGTATCAAAGCCCTTCAAAGACTGACAGTAGTATGTTTTTATTTATGAAATCGTCTCCTTTGGTGATCGGATCAAAGTTCTTCACATCCAGAGTCTAAACTTTCTTTGGGTCCATTCAGCACGTTGTACTTCTAATTGTACTGCCTGTCTGGCGATTGCCTTCTGTATACTTCATGGCCTTGTATTTCCATGCGGCGTCAATTTAGAAGTCATGTCAAGTGACATCTAAGGATCCAATCTGGTAAAATTCCATCAGGCTTGACCGCAGCTCCCTGAACAACCGGACAGCAGACAGCGAAGTCCCCTGGTCCCCCTCCGCCCGCTGACTCACGTGTTCCTCGGACATCAGTTGTGGGGCAACATCCTCATTCCAGAAATGTTAAGATGCCAGCGTGGGGCCCGTGTGTCAGAACTAGTTCTGATGGAGTTACCATTTCCTGCGGGACAGGCACCAAGCTAAGCAGGACAGAGATATGACCTCGGGCAAGTACTATCACCACTCTGGTTCTGTGTTGCCACATCTGTCAATGAGAATAACAACTTCACAGAGGTGCTGGGAAGATTTATTGAGAAACATCAGTGTAAAACTCTTAGCACAGCGCTGGCATATAAGGATTGTCCGATACGTATCAGCTATTGATATTTTAGTTCTCACAACTACCCTTGGAGGTCAACAGGATAATCCTACTTGGTGGTTTAGGACCCTGACATCAGAGGCAAGAAGGGGGCATGTCCTAGGTCACCTCCAAGGGTGTAGGCTGGGCTGGGCCAGGGGGACTTGGGGGCCCAGTTCTTAGACATGGGGCAGGGTAATGTCAAGCTCACTCACCAGCTAAGCTCACTACCCAGACCACGCAGTGTCTTGGTCTGATTTGTGGAACCCTAGGCCTTTGAAAACTCCGGAGAGAAAACACCAAGGCCTCGGAAGAGATAGGACTTGTCCAAGGCCATGTAGCCAGGGAGTGACACAGCTCAGGCTGGAAGTGCCCGTTCCCTGACTCTTCACATGTCCTCATGCTTCACTGCCCTCCCCTGTGGGCATCTCTCCCGCCACCATCCTCCGAGAAGCCGTCCCTGACCACCCACCTCCCTACACCTTGCTCCGGCAGGATCTCAACGTTTGCTGGCATTTTGGATGTGCACTTTGGAGTCAGGCCGACCTTGGGTTTGAATCCCCCTTCTGCCACTTAGCGTCCTCCCTTGTAAAATAGGCTACAAAAGCCCATCTCATGGGGTCAGCGTGAAGTTTCTGGAAAGGCCAGGGCTGATCACAACCTGGCACAGAGCCTTCGTGCAACAGCCATTTCCTCCCTCCCTTGCCCCTATGCGACATAATTATTGACCTTAATAATCACGAAATAAAATGAATAATAAGGAAAAAAGCAGAAAAAAAAGCAGATTGTGACTTTTTTTATTGGACTTCACACATATATAATGGTGGCAGTCAAAAATAAACTAAATGTGGGGCACCTGGGTGGCTCAGTCGGTTGAGCGACCTACTTGGGCTCAGGTCATGATCTCATGGTTTGTGAATTTGAGCCCTGCGTCCGGAGTGGAGGTTCCCTGTCTGGAACCTCTGCTCCCTTCCCAGTTTCAAGCTGATGGCTCTCCAACCCGCCGCCGCAGGGCTGTGGGAACACCGGATCCCCTGGAAGAGCACACTGACTCAAACGTACACCCTAATTTCCTACAGATTCAGCTAAGGGTAGATCTCGGGGAAGCAAGGTGGCCCCAGGGGAAGAGCAGGCACAGCAGGTGGTGGCCCCCCTTCGCCCTTTCCTTAGGGTTCTCGGTGGGGCCTCCCGGTTGCTACTTTCTCTGAGTAGGTAGGATCCTTCCAGAGCAGAGGAAAAAGGCCGAGTTCTTGCTGTGCCGGAAAGTCTTTTGTACTCAGGATTCGTTCCAAGAGAATGGACATCACCATGTAGGCAGTTCCTCAAAAGGAATGTTTACTGAAGTTGAATCCCCTGGTTCCTGAGGCTTCAAGACCTTTGTTTCCAGCCCTCCGATCACCTAGATCTCTGTTTCCCCAAGCTCCTGAGGCATTGAAGGATTCTCCAGGTCTTCGTGCGGCTGGATAGCTCGTTTCTTTTTATTGGGGAATAATACTCCATTGTCTGCCTGTAGCAAAGTTTGTTGACCAACTCACCAATTGAGGAACATTTTGGCTGTTTCTGGTGAATGAAGAACCAGAATGAGGAAAGAATGAAGAACATTCATTCTTTCACGAAGTTGAAGTTTTTACTTTTTTTTTTTTTTTTTTTAAGTTTATTTTTCGAGAGAGAGAAAGAGATCCTCTACGAGCAGGGCAGGAATAGAAAGACAGGGAGAGAAAGAATCCCAAGCAGGATCCGGGCTGTCAGCGCAGAGCCCGACTCAGGGCTCGATCTCTCAAACTGAGATCATGACCTGAGCCAAAGTCAAGGTTTGGACGCTTAACCCACTGAGCCACCCAGGTGCTCCTAGACTGGTGTTTTTCTTTCAACACTTTAAATATTTCATTCCACTCTCTTCTTGCTTGCATGGTTTCTTTTTTTTTTTTTTTAATTTTTTTTTTTTCAACGTTTATTTATTTTTGGGACAGAGAGAGACAGAGCATGAACGGGGGAGGGGCAGAGAGAGAGGGAGACACAGAATCGGAAACAGGCTCCAGGCTCTGAGCCATCAGCCCAGAGCCCGATGCGGGGCTCGAACTCACGGACCGCGAGATCGTGACCTGGCTGAAGTCGGAGGCTTAACCGACTGCGCCACCCAGG